TACGGACCTTAATTGATAAAAGCAGTGCTTCCTCTATGGTTTTTAACAAGAACTGATCTAAAATCGCAGGTAAAACTTGCAATGTATACGTATTGCTGATTAAAAATTATTTAACTTTGGAAAATTTCAAAAAAATATACCTATTTTTTGCTTAAATTCTTGATAACCACTGGATCTTTTCAAGGTTTTCTTCTTGTAAATTTAATCTACTACGTGTATTGCCATATTATCAAGAAATTATGTTTTTTAACTAAAAACTAAAATTTCAAAAAAATCAAATTTTCCAAAAAAAAATTCGCCAAAAAAAACCAAAATTGTGTTTCTGGGATCGAAATACAGGGTGGCGCCTCTCATACGCCGCGGAAGCTCCAAGGAGAACGGTACTTTATATCGAAATGAAATTTTGGCAGCATATGTAGGTTAACTGAAAGCATTTTTTTAAATATATAGAATTATACAGGATGTCCCCAAAAAAAGTTACACATCAAACTTGTGTTTTTTCTAATGGAACACCCTATATATATTAATTAATTTTCGGATTCTAGAAAAAAAATAAAGGTGAGTTTTACTAAAGAAGCATATACCTAAAATGTAAGGATTTTGACATATTTAACATTTTGTGAAAATGAAGAGTAAATTTTAAATTTCGATAACAGCTACCTAAATTTTAGTTGACCTTGTATAGCCCGATATTTAATTACAGTAGCCATTGTATGTCAAACCAAATTGAAATTTGCCCCGAAAAGTTATACAGGGTGAGACAAAATTAATATGGAACATTAGTCACTTTTAAAAGCAAGTTACTCCTTTATTTTAAATGGAACAACCAGTAAATTTTTCCGCTGTTCAATGGGGAATTTATATATCTACAAAATATTATAAAGGTTGCCTACTCCTCAGACAAATATTTTCCTAGATATTTTAATTTTTATGATTTTGCGTCAGTAGATCTTAATTATTTAAAAAAATTTAGGGTGGCTGTGTGATATACCTTTTGTTAATTTAACAAAAATTAAAGATTGTATAGTAAAATACTCAACGGTAATAAAAAGATACACGTATATAAACTTATAATGTGACAAAAATTAGCTAGATGAGATCAAATGCTCAAAATGCTTCCTTTCCTGTTACTGCATAAAATGCTTGTCTTTTCAAAAGGATCTGTTCATTTTAAAAGGCATTTATGTGGAGTTCTACCCCGAAAAGCAGCCACAATAATTTCTCTGATGTTATCGACATTAGTTGGTCAAGTTTTGTAAACACTGTCTTTAACATATCCCCATAAAGAACCCAGACTAGATAAAATCAGGAGCATCTAAGTATTCTATTAATTTGTGAATGCACACTGCATTCACCAACTAATAGAATCATTATCAATTCTTTCTGATGTAGGATAAGTTTGCATTTTCGGCAAATTTCTGAGATTTTTTTTTGTTTTCGCTGACACAAAATGATATAGTCTATAAAATGAACAACTTTGAATTTTGACCGTTATTTTTTACCAAAATGGCAAATATATAATCCCTCTATCCAAAAAGTTACTGATATTCTTTAAAATGAGTGCCTGAACGAATCAGATAGGTAACTCTTTTTATTTTCGTGAAATAGAAAAGGAAAATAATAAAACAAGTGACAGTTCTTCCTATTCTTGCAAAAATCAACGCGAAATGTCATAATTGACAAAAGTAAAATGTTATCAGCCTTTGACATTTCTAAATATCAGACCAATGCCGTCTCTAATAGAACAGCCTCGGAGCGAGATTTATGACGTCACGCTAGTTAGATACCACGGATTAATAAATATGTTGTAGAATACATGGAAAACATAATTATTCCTTGTATTTTTGGTTTGTATTTTAAAAATGATATAGTTTACATGAAATATACATAATATACAGTTAATAAATACAATATATATATATATACCGATTTATAGTAATAAATACTTTGGCAAATAAACTATGCACCATACAAATGCAGCAAATGTTTTATAATATACAAATAATGAATAGGTACATAAGATAATGGGTAAAATGTAAAATATATTTCAAATTTTGCGGTTTGAAAATCGATCTAATTTAACATGAAAAGCGATGGCTATGAAATAAAGGTCGCTGTCATTTTATATGTAAAATTATTCTAAAATTTTTGATTTTCTTGGGATTTAGGTTCGGGAAAAACGCTGATTAAGTTTTCATTTGGTTTTTCATTATTTTTTTTGGTCATCAGTGTTGTGTCATATGAAAAAAATAGTGTCGAATATAATCCAAAAAATTACATATAAATATATATGTAATTTTGAATAATTATATTTTCCATGTATTCTACAACATAATTAATCCGTAGTATCTAACTAGCGTGACGTCATAAATCTCGCTCCGAGGCTGTTCTATTAGAGACGGCATTGCATCAGCATGGCCGCAAGCTGCTAACCTAATAGAATTTACACTAGAAAAGCCCGCGGGAACTGTCAAATTCAAAGTTATTCGTTTCACAGACTATAACTAGTTGTTAAAATTGGACTAATTAGACAGCTATGTTGAAGTAACGTCAGACATATCACAGCCACCTAGATTTTATCAAATAATAACGATCTACTCAGATCAAATCATGTAAATAAAAATATCTAGAAAAAGAGGGGTAGGCAACCTTAATAGTATTTTGAAGAGACATGAATTCTCCATTGAATATCGGAATAATATACTGGGTGTTCCATATAAAATAAAAGAGTAACATGCTTTTAGAGGTGGCCAATGTTCAATATTAATTTTGTCTCAGCCTGTATAACTTTTTGGATCAAGTTTTAATTTTATTTAGAGTACAATAGTTAATTTAACTACATATTAGACTATACCGGGTAAATTCCAATTTAGGTAGCTTTTATTGTAATTTAAAAATTGTTCTTTATTTCTAGAAAATGTTAATTATGTCAAAAACTTTACATTTTATATGTCATATACGTCTCTTATAAAACACACCTTTATTTTTCTCCCAGAATCCAAGAATCAATTAATATATAGGGTGTTCCATTACAAAAAAAAACACAACTTTGATATGTAACTTTTTTTGAGGACACCCTGTAGAACACTCTATATTTTTAAAAAGTGCTCTGAATTAACCTACAAATGCTCACAAAATTTCATTTCAATACAAACTGTCGTTCTCCTTAGAGCCTCCGCGGCGTATGAAAGGCGCCACCCTGTATACTGCCCCTAAAAATATTTGCACTTATTTAAGACTCACCCTGAATAGTATAGTAGTAGAACAAAAAAAAACAAGACGACATAATAATATTATGTATGTAGTTATGTGTATTAGATTTTTTATTTCATTTTATATTGTTTTTCCAAGACTGTTACGGTTCCATCCATTATTACATATTTTATATGCGTATCTTAGTAATAGCAGTCTAAAACTTTAGAGAATTAATAGTCTATTAGGTTTTCAGTCAAATGAAAGACTTGCCTGACCGTATGTAACCATCTTTACCATAATTTAAATACCCATCTCAATGCCAGGCTTCGAGAATAGTACTAAACCAAACTTAAATCTTAAATCAAAGCTAACAATATAACTGTACAGGGCGAGTCTTAAATAAGTGGCCAGTAGATTTTCAAAATGAATTAACATAATTTGTTAAAAATTTTGATCAAAAATTTAATCTACTACCTATGTTCCAATATCATCAAGAGATTACGTTTTTTAACTGAGTCAAAATAAATTTCCAAAAAAATACGTTCCTGGAATCGAAATATACCACCACTAAAATATTGGCACTTATTTAAGAATCCCCTGTATGTAAAAAGAGCAGAAAGGACAGATCCAACATAAAACATGCATTAGCTTATATAAATACCATTAAAAAACTTACATAAAGCAAACTTAACCTAATAAAAATTAAAATACAGCAGAGCGACCAGGAAAAAAATAGTAAAAAACAGAAGTTTTCTTAAAAATACACTTATCACAATATGAAAATTGTATAATTTGAACTTATTATGTGTTTAATAATCAGTAAAATAACCAATCTGAAAAAATAGTATTGGGAAAATACAGTTATCTCTAAAGGCCCGTCCACACGTAACGTGTTACCTGTCAGTCTTACCTGTTCAGTCTAATCGTATCAAGCAAAACCTTGTGTGTGAAAAACGGACTTTTTATTTGGACTAAACTAATACAGAAGACCGTTTAGAGAAATAAAGGTATCGTTCAGTTTTACAACAAAACTGTCGTTTTGCCTACACTGAAAAAACAATGTAAAGTAAATTTACAAAAAATCATATGGATATATTACAGCATCTTTAATAAGCGACTTTTAAAAATCTAATGAATAATAATAATGATTTTTTTTAAGTTATTTCTATGTTAGTTTTAATTATGTTATTACCACTTATGGCGTTGTAAGACGTACATCAATAAATAAATAAATAACCCATAATAACGCTTAGTTTGGTTTGGTTTGAAATATGAAATAAATAAAATAAGCTAAAAAAAAAAATAAAACGTAAAAATCTTTAAAAATGATATAATGATTACCAAACGATATTATTTTCACAATTAAATTTGCGTAATTTACGAATGAAATTTAAACCATAGCTTCACTATACCCAATAGTATAAAGGTGTGTACAGACCTGACGAGACGAGAGTGAGACATTCCAAATTTGCTAAGTGGGGATGAATCTCGCGAGGAGTCTCGTTGCTATCCGTCAGGTTTTTCGACGGCCGATCAAAGAAATCTCGCAGCACAGTCTGGAGGTGTAGGTAGGCTCATTCGATTGCAAGATATCAGTGCATGCTTGTCTCGTGGCAGGCGTCTCTCAAAAAATGGATAGAAGCAGTCTCGCTCTCGTCTCGTCAGGTCTGTACGGACCTTAATTGATAAAAGCAGTGCTTCCTCTATGGTTTTTAACAAGAACTGATCTAAAATCGCAGGTAAAACTTGCAATGTATCTCCTATCCGTCTTAACTGACATGTAAATCGTTATGTGTAGACGGGACTTTTTTTTCCAACTTAACAACTTTTTGACCACAGATATGACATTAGAGTAGGTTTGTGCAAAAAATGTCTGCAGACAAATAACATCAAGGACTGCTTGGACAGAGAAAAGGTAAATATAAACTTATTGGATAAAGCTATGCCACAAGTTATTACAAACAACCAATGACTAAAGAATACAAGAACCAATAATACCAGGAACCAAACTGATACCAGTTGACAGAGAGCTATTGGGCCTTGTGTTATTTGTCTGTAGAAATGCTCGATATTTATTCAGAAATAGATTAAAAAAAGATCAAAACCACTTCGAATAGTTTTCGCTAATATTAAGTCTGATATAGTAGATATTCCTTGAGTAATTTCGGAAGAGGTAACGCCGCGACCGAATTTTTTTTGATATGAAGTAAGATGGCGTCCCTGCACGCCGCCTGAAGAGTGGGCACTATAAAGAAAGAAAAACGTTTTAGGTATTTTTTATGTTAAATAATGCACTTTTTTACCTTGTTTATGAAAATAACTATAGAGGAAAGTAACCAAATCCAGATATGGACTGGTACATATATATCTGTGAACTACGGTGACGTAATTGAGCAGTGAAATTTGGCCAAAGTACATATCGTCCTATTGCTGTCAAAAGTCACTAACTAACATTTTTCCGAACAACCAAATTCAATCACTAACTATGTTTTGAATCGGCGAATCGATTGCAAAAGTCATTTACTACGATTTCTGGCTATTTATGTTTTATTTAAAAGCTGACGTTAAAAAAACTCTAAAAGAATGTAACACCCTTATTGATCTTTCTTTAAAGAGGAAATTGCAAGTATCCAATCCCTCATTACCAAAATTGTATGCTGTGCCAAAAATTCATAAACCGGACAAGTCTATGCGCCCAATTGTTTCGGCTGTAAGTTCTCCGACTTATACTTTGATAAAATGGTTATGAAGGGAGTTCGAAAATTTACCTGATCATGAACCTTCTTTCTCAGTTAAAAATAATATTGAATTCATTAACAAAATTAAAGATATAACATTGCATGAAGGTGAAATTTTGGTCTCCTTTGATGTATCTTCGTTGTTCCCAAGTGTTCCAATTCCACATACTTTAGGCTACTTAAAGGAATTACTGAACGCAAATGGTCTCGACAACAAAACTGTGAGTGAATATATTGAGCTTACATCGTTATGTATGAAACAAAATTGTTTTCAATTTAATAACAACTTTTTTGAACAGCGGGAAGGTACAGAAATGGGTAATCCATTGTCTCCATTTTTGGCTAATTTATTCATGAGCAGGTTTGAAGTGGAGGCTAAGAATCAGTTTGGGTATTTTCCAAGAGTATGGTTTAGGTATGTGGATGATATTTTTGCTGTTTTTGACACACATTCAGACACTATAGATAATTTTATTTCTAAGTTAAATAATCGTTTTCCTTCCATTAAATTTACGCATGAAATTGAGAACAACGACAGATTACCATTTCTAGATGTATTAGTTATTAGAAATACTAATAATTGCCTGGCATTTGATATCTATAGGAAAAATACGACCACACGCAGATATATTCCTAATGAATCACATCATAGTGTTGAACATAAAATGGCTAGTTTAAATTTCTTAGTTCATAGATTACTTAGTTTCCCACTTTCCAACGAAAGATATGAAATAGAAAGAGATTACATTAGGAATGTAGCTGAGTGTAATGGATATTCTCCTTTACTAGTTGATAAATTAATTAGAAAACGTAGGTATAGGTTAATGATTTCTGAAAATTCGACTTTTCAAGTGGAGAAAGATACGTCTAAATATTTTTCGATACCGTTTGATAGAGAGTTATCCCGTGGTCTAAAAGGAATTTTTAAGAATGTCAATTTAAACTTGTGTATAGTGCTAATAATAAATTACAACAATTATTAGGTAATCCAAAAGATAAAACACCTCCACTGGAAAGGTCGGGTATTTATGAAATTTCTTGTAAAGATTGTAATCAGAAATATGTTGGGCAAACTAGAAGATCAATATTAACTAGATTTAAAGAACATTTAGCTCAGATAAGATATGGTAGACCGGATAAATCTTGCGTTGCCGAACATATTGTTGATAATGAACATTGTATAGATCTTAATAATTTAAAATTAATTAAACAAGTCTCAAATTACTGGCAATTAGATGCATATGACAGCATCAGAATTAATAAATGTAAAGATAGTATGAACAGAGTCAACGGTCCAATTCCTTCAAGTTCTTCGTTCCTACTACTCTAGTGGCGGAAATCTAACTGTTACGCTCAGTTGGCTCTGACTCGGTTGGCTAGATTTTGCCACGCCCACTGGGCCAGTATATAAACGCTCAACTTGTAGATTGTACTTTAGTTCATAATCATCTGCTGATGATGCTAACATGGTTAGCGAAACGCGCGTCCAGTGTAAAAGTAAAAGTGTTTTGGTGTATTGTGGTGATTTAGTGTTTTTATTTTGTTTTATTTTAATACCGAATAGTTACTATAGTAAACGCCACGAATGTTTGGGAGCGATTCATCGGTCGCTACCATGTGAACTAATCTGTTCAAGGTCACATAAACTTAATTCCAGTGCCGTGGTGTTTCAAGTCATATAATAATCAATATATAATTTGTTGTTTTAACTGTCAAAGTCTTGTCAAAACATATATTTGGTTATAAATATAAAATGGAATGCCCCATTGGTCGCACTGCAAGCACACCAATGGACTGACGCACAAAAACGAATCAATCAAAGAAACGCGATATAGTATCGTCTTTGTCAATCACGCCAACATTTTAGAATAAGTAGGAGGAGCGCAGGCAGATTATTAGACCCGGCCTTTAAAAACCTACGTCTGCGGAAAAATTTACGTTTTTAATGTAAAAATGATAGCGCGTGTGTCAATTCTAACTTCATCAAGCGATGAATCACTCCCAAACATTCGTGGCGTTTACTATACCTATAACATCTTTATGCAATGCAATTCATCTTTAGACGCAGTGACTTTTGGCAGCAATGGGACGATATTATTAAGGGATTAAGCAGTCCAGTCTATTTACCTTTTGGCTATTGTCTATTGATTCTTGACTCATAACATGACCCAGTTCATACTCTGACATTTTACTGAACAATGATGACGGAAAATTATATTTGTCAGTTCTTTAATTCTTAAAACTAATATCGGTGTCTGGAGCTCAATTTTCATCAAAAACATGATGGTGAAAACCGCACATCAATATCTGTTACGTTTCGGAGTTACGGGGTGTTTTTCAAAAATGTGCATTTTTAACAAATCGCTGTAACTTTTTACTATGGAAAATTTTGTATTTCTATGAAAACATTTCCAAAGCACCTTTTACGTAGAATTTAATGGTTTAAGTATAATTTTTTAAAATTAATAATTTAAGAGTTATCAACAAAAAATATTTTTTATTTGGGACACCCTCTATATTTTTAATTAACTGAAAAGAATTTAAAATTACCTTTCCAAAAATATAGCACACTTGATATTTTGTTATAATCCCCTTCGAAATATAGAATTTTTAAAAGTTCGCCACTTTTAACAAGTAGGTTTTGGACTTTGGACCCCTTATTGATGATATGCCCTTAATGGAACTCGAAAACATATTTTTCCAGCAAGACGACGCACCGCCTCTGAACGCTGAAGTTATCAGCAAATTTTTGCAGCCAATTTCAAGAATAATTGAATAGCTAACCAAGACCCCAGCCGTTGGCCGTCGAGGCCGCCTGACTTAGTGCCCATGGACCTAATCCCATGGATATATTTGCGGAAGAATAAAGGTTCCTTATTCTTCCGTATAATCTAGACAAGAATTAGAAATACTTAGCAGTTATGAGAGGGTATATTTCACACCTACTGAGTTAATGAATTCCGCGAGAAATGTTCAAAAACTGCCCCGTCTGTCCATAACAAAGACGGTCGATATGTCGAACACCTGTAGCAAAATCTTATGTCTTGGTTTGCTATTTATTTTTATTGCTATTAGATATAGTTTAAATGTATTAATGTTGATTAAATATATTTTAAATTGTTATAAAATTCTGCATCTCTCATAGCAAATATTATTTTCGTTTTAACTGATGCTCACAGCTAGAATTTTTTTGCATTACAGCCGGTGCCGTTCAAAGCCTACTTATTTAAAGCCGGCGAATTTTTATATACTCTATATATCGAAGAGGAATCGAGCAAAATATCAAGTGTGTTATATTTTTGGAAAGGTAATTTTAAAGTATTTTCAATAAATTAAAAATATACAGGGTGTCCCATATAAAAAATCTAATTTTCTGTTGATAATCCTTAAATTATTTATTTTAAAAAAAATATACATAAACCATTAAATTCTACGTTAAAAGGTGCTTTGGAAATGTTTTCATAAAAATACCAAATTTTCCATAGCAAAAAAGTTACAGCGATTTGTTAAAAATGCATATTTTTGAAAAACACCCCGTAACTCCGAAACGGTAACAGATATCGATATGCGGTTTTCACCATCATATTTTTGACAAAAATTGAGCTCCAGACACCGATATTAGTTTTCGTCTATCTCCTATAGAAAAGGGTGATTCCATTTAAAAGCGTCGAATTTGACCCACCCTGTACAAACTTAGACAATTTAAAAGCAAAGAAAATCAGCTTTTGTCAGCTGATTTACTGTTTTGCTATTATTTCTTATACGAAATATGTAAATTCTTAAAATGTGTAGCTCAGGCGATTGTAGTGTAGCTTGTGACAACCCTGCGAAAATGTCAAAAGTTGACATACATATGATATGCCATTCTATTCAGAGTGTCATTTTCTATTGAATAAAGTAAAAAAATTCCGAGGGTGTATTTAGTTTTTTTTATCTAAAAAAAATAAAAAAGTTATAAGGGTGAGCCACTTTTGAGACGCGCCCGGTATATTATGTAACAGAAAATATTAACTAAGAATAAAAATTTTTGATTTACAATACCTCTTTTATATAACACAAAAACTAAATGGTATTCCATATTTGATATGTGATTACTTTTCTCGACTATATTTTTAGAAAGCTCATAAGAAGGAAAATAAAATAAAAGAATATACAGGGTGTCTCATTAAAAAAACATCACAAGGTTGAGTTATGGTTAGCGAAACGCGCGTCCAGTGTAAAAGTAAAACTGTTTTGGTGTATTGTGGTGATTTAGTGTTTTTATTTTGCTGAGTTATATTTCAAAAATGACAGCTCCCAGCGAAAAATTAGTTACGCCGCTGGATTCTACATGGGCAACTCTACTCTTCGTCTTTTCTAAGTTATAAAATAATTTCTAATAAGTTATAAGATAATCGAGATATGAGAAGAGTAAAGAAATGGAACAATTTCAAATTAGCCCTGTATTTCAAAAACTAAGAAGACTAGGACAAATTTTTTTTTGAAACTTTCTTTAGTTTCATAAAAAAGTAGTATAGTGATTTAAAAACCGAATCTTTGTGTATCTCTACTCATAAACAAAAAAACCACATAAAACACAGGAAAATGGGACACCCTGTACATAGTATATGTATAATGAATATCATTAAAAAAACTTCAAAATCATAAAAAAATATATATTCTTGTTATAAGTTGTTTTTTGTACAAACAAATTTAAGAAAATCATACCTTGATACAATTGTATGATCCGTACTTTCTTCGTAGTTCCATAGACATCCACCACTACATGTAGTGGCGCTTCTTTGTAAGGAATTTTCTTAACACAGGCTCCCATATCTTCTCCATTAATAATATAATGCATTTCAGCCCCTTCTTCATCGGTAGGGACATACATCACTCCTATCCTTGACCCTGTTCGAAAAAAATATAATTTTTTGTTAATATAGTGCATACCAACCTTAAATTTTGTATATGATCTTGTCTAATAACGTTATATTAAAACTATTACCCATATCTGTTGGTAAAATATCTTGCATATCTCTCGGAGGCTTTAATAAATTAACAGGAATAGTTCCTCTACATAATTTATTAATGTTACTGTCTTTAGTCAGTTTTCTCCCACCCTGTCTAACAAATCTTTTCCCATTTTCAGTCTCATATTCACAAACGTTGTTATGAGCTTTGCTAATTCCATATATCCAAGAAGTTCCAATATCGGCAAGATCTAAAAATCCAACAAAGAAAAATTTTAGATCATATTATATTTAATACTTATTAATTTACCTGGTAAAGCATACTGTGGTATGGATCCTGTCTTATGTAACCTTAGGGGATCCAACTGAGTCAATCCCAATCGCATATGACCGCTCCAGCCTGTTTCGTTCTGTTCAATTTCAACTAAAAATATTTCACCAGGTCGCAAAGGTTTTTCGCTGAATGTGACCGCATTGGCGAAAGATTTCTTGCGATAGGCCACCGTATCGTCATCTGAGAGGTCTATATTTTCACCGTGGTACGGGTGAAACCTTGTGATATGCGTATTTTTGTCGTTAAACAAAGGGGACACTGATGAACTGGATTGTTGGGCGTTATTGGACATATTGTGATTAATTTAAACACAAGCACGACACGATTTCAATGTCCTTTTTAGAAGTTCGTAAACAGCTTGTTCATTTAATTACTATTCAAAACTAAATTCCAATTCACATATAAATATTTAATTTTTTTTTGTCTTTTGATGTACGTATTATTAATTAGCCATGTAGTAAAAACAGTAAAGAGGCATACGTTTTAAACGCAAAACCAATAATCGATTTTAAAATGTTAAAACAATAATATTATTAGAATTTCTTGTAACTTAACAAATAATTAAACAATTTAAAACACTTTTTTCTGGTTTATTTTTCTCGTTTTTCTTCAACATGACAACCACGTTGCCGGATTGCGGATAAATATCCATAGATTAAAAATTTTGCCCTTTTCATTCTGATATCCTTAGATTTTTCAGCGCTCAAAAATAATGACTAGACAAAGCTTATTAAAATTAAATTTGGTAATTTTTGTGTAAATACATTTTAAAAGGTCCTAGATTACAAAATATTTAACGAAACCGATGTATTTGAAGATTTATATATGACTATCGAGGATAAATATTGAAGATTGGCAATAGTGTAATAACTCGATTAAAATGTCAAAAATGTAAACAAAAAATGATTGATAACGTAACCTCACTTTTACATCGCGGAAATTTAAATATATTTAAATTTTATTATCTTTTTTAGAAAATCTGAGAGTAAAATGGATTTGCCGAGGTATAAATTTAATTCGCATAATGACGGCGATTTATTGGACTTTCTTAAAACCGCCAACGAATGCAAAAATGAAACCTGTTGTGATTTAGATGAATACGAAAAATTGAAAATTTTATTTCCGTTGGTAAGTATATGGAATTGTTATTTTAAACGTACATAAGTTAGACAATAAATTAGTTTGTATTAAGGAAGAAGGTACAAAGGTGAAACTGGAACAATATCCTCAAAATATAAAGGAGTTTATTGATATAACAAGCGATGATGAAGATATGAATCAAGAGTCTCTTCTTAAAGCAGATGACGACAATATTATAAAAGAAATATCTAGTATGTTAGAACATTCTTCGGTTAGAAAAGAAATAAGTGATATGGTTGATACTATAAAGGATATATTAATGAGTAAAGATGAAATGCCTGATTCAGTATTTAATGATTTATCCTCATTAAAAAATGAAGAATTAAATCAAGTGTTTGAATCATTAAATTCAAAACTTAATTTGGACGAAGTAGAACGCTTTTGGCATTCACTAGATAGCTATCATACTTTATGTGAAACTATCATACCACATTACATAAGAAGACTATTTTTACCAAAAGTAGGTATGTTAAATATTTTAAGATATTTTGATTTTATAGTATATTAAATTTTAGATTAAAGAAGTTTACAACACAGATATTCAAGGTATTTTTGTTGCCCATATGGAAAAGTATACAGACATTTTTAGGAGAATATTAGTCGAGGATTTTTTAGAACAGGCTCTTAGTCAAGTGTTGATGAGCTACGTTTTGTCTACAAGTGTCAAATTTAAGACTAATCTTTTAAGGTAATTTATGATGAATAATTCAATAATATTCTTCTAAAATTTTATTTTTTTAATAGGGATTTCCTTACATCGACACAGAAGTTAAAAGAATACTATATTCCGATAATCGAGGCATTGTTAAATCCCCAAACTGATGTTAACGTAGCTAGCCAAGTTATAGAACTTATGTCTAATTCAGCATATGAATTTGTAAATGATAATTCATATGGAAAATTGTTATTTAACGTTGTCAATTGCATCAAAAATCATATACCTAAACTAGAACAACCTCTAAAGCATATTTTGAGCATACATCAAAGTATTTGGAAAATAAAGGTACAAAAAATTGTTGTGGCTAACTTAGAGGAGAGTTTCAGTCAAAGTTTTAGGTAAAATAAATAAGGTGTGGTACAAAAAAGATTTATTAAGTAATGAAATGTACAGAATAAGAAAACAAAATATTTTATTACTGAAAGTTGGAATAAAAAAATGATGTAATGAAATTTTTCTTAACCTTTCTTTGTGTTTTCTGTCCTTTGTATTGTGGAAACTCCATCTAAGAATTTTGTTCTGAAGAGAACGTTTGCATTGTTGAACATGCCGTCTTTAAGAGATACTACAATAAACTGGAAAATAAAGATGCATGTTAATAGAAGTAAAAGTCAAACTACTAGAAGTAAAAAACAGGGTTGGCAAAAATTTAGAAAAAATAACAATATACTTGGATGTTTTTATTTAAATCAGATTTTTTTTATTTTAATCAGATTTTTTTGATTTTAACAGAAATCATTGTTTAAATGAGATTTTTTTTTATTTAAATCATATTTTTTATTTTAATAAAAATCATTGTTTAAATGAGATTTTTTTATTTAAATCAGATTTTTTTTATTTTAATAGAAAAGATTTAAATGAGATTTTTATTCAAATCTGATTTTTTTTTTATTTTAATCAGATTTTTTTTGATTTTAATAGAAAACATTATTTAAATCGTATTTCCCAATAATTAGGCCTTATTTCCAATTAAAGTCCTATCACAGATTATAAACTTTGTTTTTTCTTTATTGTTTTTCGTGGTTCCAATTTTCGAAATCGGGCACTAGTTAGGTGACTAGTTTGCGCACATAGCACGCCCACTTATGGCCTCTAAAATTGTGCACAGCGCCTGATCGGCACAGTTATTAGAGAGATATCGGAAAACCGAATAGCGTCATGCAGTATTTACGCGTACCTTATCATGGTTACGATATGCGCGAGTCAATTTTTAACGCAACACCCGCTAATAACGTTACCGCCTGACGTAATTTGCGGATCAATTACACCAAGCGCTATTTCTAAATAACGTTCAAAAATTGCTTAAATGGGCATGTGCGGGTATTTGACAACCGGACCGGCGAGATCTTTTATTTTAGGTTAAGTTTGAATTGTTTTGAATTATTACCTTAGTTTTATTAGGTAATTTGATATTTAAGTAGCTGGGATTAGTTTTAATTAAATAAATATGGCCCAAAATATGGATTCCACCTCTTCCAATATTAAAGAACCTATAAAGAGGCTTAGGTTTACAGCAGATGACGACTTAGCCCTTCTAAGAGAATTTGTTGCTTGTTGCCCTAAACCCACTGGCAGATGTTGAACAATAAAGCACTGGAAATAAGCACTTTAGCCCTTTAGTTTTAAAATACCTAGTAAACAAAACAATTTCAAAGTTTTAAATTCAAAGTTAGGTTAAGTTTAAATAGCGGACGCGACGCGAACAGAATCCTTTCCGATCCGATAATTATAAATGAAGAGAGTTAATACCACCTCACGTAAAGGAAATAACACCTGGCCTTATTAACGTCCATGCACGCTATTCGGTTTAGCGATATCTCTCTATTACACTGTTTATTGTTATTTTACGCGAGTTTATTATTGCGCACAGGAAATTTTACTCGTTTGCACATCGTCATAAAAGACAATTTTCGTACCACGAATTAGGGATAAGATTTTTATCTGTATACATATAGTATACCTAGAATTAGAATTAGAATTAGGATGAGTGGGAGGGGGGTTAATCACTTCGACCTTACAGATCCATTGTGTCCCCCTTTCTTGAATCATAACTCATCATACAGTCCCAGGGCTTTGACAAAAGCCAGTATCTGGGACGGTTTTATAGAGGGTAGTTCTCCATCTCCAATATCAGTCGTACCAAAATTCATGGCACGAATGGTTGTCGTCTCGGCGCACTCAGTGATGAGGTGTACTGGTGTTTCACCATCTTCCCCACAGAATCTGCATTCGCCGTTTCTTCTTAGTTTCAATCTACTGAGGTGTTCATTGAGGGAGACAGTGTCCTGTTAAAACCCCGTGACAATCCGAAGATTGTTCTTACTCAGACCCAGGAAGATCTGTGATTTTTCTTGATCATAAGCCCTCAGAAACTTCTTCGAGTGTCCTAGACCATTGCAAGATTTCCATTCCAAGTTGCGGATGGAATCTTCCAAGTTCTTGAGTTCCGCCTTGAGTTGGTTACCACTTGGAAAGCAGAAAGGTTCTGGTCCAGTTAGTGGAGTGTTCGCTCCTTTCCTAGCTAGATTATTTGCTTTTTCATTGCCTTCTATCCCTTGGTGAGCAGGCACCCAGTGTAGGAGGACTTTGTTTTCTTTGCCTAATTTATTCAGCTTCTCTATGCATTCTTTGACCAATTTCAAATCGATTGATACTGAGTTGATCGCCTTTAACGCTGCTTGACTATCAGATAAGATGGCTATTTCTTGTTTCCGATAGTTCCTATCTAAGATAAGTTGTACGCATCTCTCGATAGCGTAGATTTCTGCCTGTAGGATACTAGGGTAAGTGCCCATTGGTTCGGAGTAATTAGCTCTCGGCGCAAACACTCCGATCCCTGTTCCCGTATTGGTTTTGGAAGCATCAGTATACCAAGTTATGGTATGGTCTTTTAACTGCTGGGCAAGCGTTTCGCTCTTCCAATCCTTCTTATTGCTCAATACTACATTGACATGTTTGTCAAAGTTGTAGTTCTTGGCATATCGTCCATTGGGAGTTGCAGAAGTGGTATTTCCTTTTTGAGGGTGTTCCAAGCCCCTGATCTGACAATTCTCCCAGTACTAATTCCGTTAGTGACCATTCTAATCATTGTCGCATTGGCATATCTACCAATGACAATGTGCAGTGGTGTTAGATCTAGAATGACCTCCATTGCTGCTGTTGGACAAGTTCTCATGGCTCCTGTGATGCACATAGTATACCTAATATATATAGCACATAGTATACCTAATATGTGGTCCTATCTAAGTGGCTAAATATTCGTAACTCTGCCCGATACTGATAACATTAACAATTCTATGGCGCGTCATTTTTCCATAACATTTGAAAAAAATAGCATGTTCTAATCGGAGTAAAAATGTAGTTTTGTGCTTCCCTGTAACGTACTAGCTTTACGCTGGTCCGTCAAACGTACAGCCTCGTTTAGAAATGTATAATTTTTACTCCTAATAAAACAATGCACTATTGTTCGGAAATAATCTTAAGTCGAGAATGAAATTAGTACAATAGTACAATATGATCGAAAAAAAAACCGCGTCAGCGATGGCTATGAAATGAAGATCGCTGTCATTTTATATGTGAAATTATACGGAGAATGTCATGATTGTCATTTCCAAGCCAACTGGACGCCGTTTTGTTTTCGATCCTTTGAATAAGAAGACTAAAGCCGGAGTCTCATGCATCCGAAATCCGATGGTACGACATCCGAAATTTGAAGTTTTCCTGTGAAATAAAAAAAGCCTGTCAAAAGTTTTGACATTTTTCTGCTGCACTGAATAGAGATTCATGTCATGTTTTATTGGAGAAACACTTATAAAAATAACTTCCTCGCCAAATATTCCGAAATTACCCACTTCCCACTAAACTTGTTTTTAAAAACAAATGTTTTCAAAAAAAGTGAGGTTAAAAAACACACGATATCGTACAAAAGTTAAACAAAATTTAACTTTATACGACGTAGGACAATTAGTTAAAATTATCGGATAAAAATTGGTGTCAAAATATTTCGACCAATAGGAGCACCGTCGGATCGTCGTGTCATCGGATTTCGGATGCATGAGACTCCGGTTTAAGGAAGGAGCATAATGCTATCCATGTATAAATGCATGGTGGGCGGAAAAAGGACTCTAGGGTGGGGATCCTTGACAGTTCTGTTTGACGATTCATTTGACACATTTGAATTTGATTTGAAATTTTGTGGATTTGTCAGTCTTTACGGAGCTTATTTTATGTTATTTATTATTTATTCTACTACTGATAGTTGTATAAAGGTAGTAAATCTAGATAGAAATTGTGGCGGAACTTAAATTAACAGTGAGACTATCGCGATTTATCGAAAAAGACTCTAAAATAGTTGGTTGTGTAGCGTGCGGTAAATCTCGGTAAAAATCGAGTGAAATAATGGAACAACTTTTCGCTAGTAAGTGACTACATAATATACATACGTGTAGTAAACCGATCATTTATGAAATTCACTTAAATTAACTAATTATATATTTTTTCTTGCATTTTTGCTTTTATTTACTACTTGTCAAAGATTAGATGTCAAAGAATTTAGATACGTCAATTTGAGTTACCTGCTTCAGTAGCGTATCGGATGTTTATGGTTATAAATAATTATTATAACTTATCTATTTTTATTAGAATTTTATATTTTTACTACAATTTTAATAACTACCAACATTTATTCACAACGTAAAATAAAAAAAGAAATTATTGAGTCTACACCACGTCTACCCTACATCATAGTTTTACATTTTTTAAATAAAATTAGAAAGGCACTGATAAACCGGAATTTAAGTCGGTCATATTTGAGGCCCATCGCGCTGGACCTGAGATTTTTGATATGCTCCTTCCTTAGTCTTCTTATTCAAAGTTTTCGATCATACGATATTGTCTAAAACTAAACGTTCTCTAACCCAGTGTGAGTACATATTATCATTAGTATCCTTTTACCCGCCTTAAAAGGTTTTGCTTTGATATTATCTAATGTCAACGTGTAAAGTACTTAGTGCAGATCGAAATGTCGGTAGAATAGCGCTCCGCAGGTAAATCTGGACGAATGGAAACCCTACACGTTGTTTGTATAAATAGATGAAATTACCTGCGATTTTTTGAAGTGAGATCGCAACATACTGCCGATATTCTGGGTATGCGAAAGGTCCAGAGCTGCATCAACTTCATCGAGAATGTACAGTGGGGCAGGTTTAAAAAGCAGCATGGCCAGAATAAGGGACAGGGCCGCCAAAGACCGCTGTCCGCCACTGAGCTCGGTCAAACTATCTTTCCAAACGTTACCAAGGGAAACCTTAATCTGAAAATCAATGTTGTTCGATTATGATCGATTATGATACAAAATACAGGGTGTTCCTTTTAAAAAAGTGGAGAAAAATACAAGCCTCAATCACTGTATAATACACTATACTGTACCTACCTCTAATCCTTGTAAAATTGTTTTGCCCAACGTGGGTACAAGTCTACCGTTTGCCCCTGGAAGTAGTGTGGAAAAAATTGAACCGAAATCTTTTGACACTTGCTCATGAGCCAGTTTTAAGGCATTCTCTTTTTTTCCGTCCAACTGAGCAATCAGTTTCACCAATTTTGCCCTGTCGACTTGCACGATTTTCTGTTTCTTCAGTATATCTTCAAACTAAAAATAAAACAAAAAAATAATATGGAGCCACCCACAATGATTGAAATAGTTGGAAATCGGTGGCGTGCATATAATATAGGCAAAAAGACGTTGCCTACCACCGAAAACAAAATTCCTTCTAAAATTGGTTATAGCCGAAATTAGTGATGGGCAAAACTGTGATTTTTAGATAACAGTTGAAACTGTTATAGTTATTTATAAAAAACAGCTTAAAATAACAGGTTTCTTTATTTTATTGCTAAATATCTGAAAGAGTATGAGACGGTCACCGCCAGGCGTATTAACGCAGTTGCAAGTTGCAACAATGACGTGCGTGTCAAAACATTTGTAAATATCGATTGTTATCTAAAATACCTCTCTAAAAACGGTGGTTGTTTACAAATAAGCGCTGTTTACAAATTGCGATATAAAAAAAACAAAATTCCGCCACTCGTCTATACCTATACATTCCGATATACCTACGCCCTGCCCCTCGATCCGAGTAGGTCCTGAATTGCGTAGCAGTGTACAGGGTGCATCTCACACGACGGGCAAGGAGCTCTTAGTTATGATTTTACCATTTGCGGTCAAAAAATAGCAATATAAGAAAATGTGTAGTATATTCTTCATAAGTAAACCAACTACACACTAGAATTCGAATTAATTTTACACTTAAACTAGCGTGTACCCGCGACTTCGTTCGCGTCGAATTAATAATTTGTAATGGTGATGATAAAGCAAAGCAAGAATTTCCATTAACATACAAACTAATTAAAATTTTCTCACATTTGCCAAAAATAAGCTTTTAAACGTCCAGCAGTTTAAGCAGAATCGTGGTTAATCAATTACTCAACTTTTTGGAACACCCTGTATGATTTTTTAAAAAATTTCAAAATATGTAAAAAAAATAATATAATTTCCCGAAAAACTAACCGTTTTTTAAATAACAATTATTGTAATATTTAAGGGGGCCTTTTCACCCTCTTGGAATTTGAGATTCGAGAAACCCCTCCTTATCGAACCTCAACCCCACAGTCAATCCGTTTGTCAAAAATCAGCTTTAAACGTCAAGCAGTTGAAGCAGAATAGTGATTACTCAATGGTCATATTTTATGAAACACCCTGTATATATTTTTAAAAAATCTTAAAATATGTAAAACAACAAAATAAAATATACGTGTTTAAGAGTTTTTTCAAAAAACTCAACGGTTTTTAAATAAAAAATATTCTAATATTTGAGGGTGGTTTCACCCCCTTAGAATTCGAGTTTCGAAAAATCCCTTCCTATCGAACCTCTACACCCTAAAGTCAATCCGTTTTCCAAAAATCAGCTTTTTACGTCAAGGGCTTTAAGCAGGATCGTGATTAATCAATGACCAGATTTTTCAAAACACCCTGTATACATTTTTAAAAAAATCCTAAAATATTATTCTGAAAATTTTTCAGAATAAATAAATACCTAAATATTGAAACTTAATAAGTAAGTACTGAAACATACAGCGCCATAATATCTCGACCTCCGCCCGTTAAGCTCGTAACAGGTTGAAAAACAATCTATCTAAAACAACTAATGCGTTATTCTCCAACCTGTTTCGAACCTCCATCGACAATCGGCCGATGCAGTAGCGTTACTTTCCCACTCCGATTATTTCGACTGCCGCTCTGTTATGCTCGTAACAGGTTAAAAAACAACGTATCTAAAATGACGGCTTCTCCAACCCGTTGCGAGCCTCCATCGACAATCGACCGATGCAGCAGCGTTCCTTTCCCACTCCTGTTATCTCGACCGCCAGGCGTTATGCCCGCAACTGTTTCAAAAAAGCTGCTTCTTTTATATCCTATTATTTTTAAGCTGTTGCAAGCCCCACACGACCATCGACCGATGCCGTAGCTCCGTAGCGCATTCCCCACTCCATTGTCCGTTGTATCTCGCCGCCTGTATCGATGGTTATCGAAATAACATGTTTTCCATCCATAATCCATACACATTTCGTGGCGGTGCAGAGCGCCGGCTTCGTTTCACGAACGGTCGATCTCTGCGCATCGCTATTTTATATCTGTTATTTTTTAAAAGTAGTAACGATTACGTTATGTTATTTCTAAATAATTGTTATAAAATAACAGATATAGTATGTAAAACGAATAACTTTGAATTTGACAGTTCCCGCGGGCTTTTCTAGTGTTAATTTTATTAGGTTAGCAACTTGCGGCCATGCTGACGCAATGCCGTCTCTAATAGAACAGCCTAGGAACGAGATTTATGACGTCACACTAGTTAGATACTACAGATTAATAACTATGTTGTAGAATACATGGAAAACATAATTATTCCTCGATTTGTTGGTTTGTATTTTAAAAATTATATAGTTTACATGAAATATACATAATATACAGTTAATAAATACAATATATATACCTATTTATATTAATAAATGCTTTGGCAGATAAACTATGAACCATACAAATGCAGCAAATGTTTTACAATATGACTGAAATTGTACTCCATAGTCAATGTAGATAGTTTTTGTGTTAAGAATAATAATTTAAAAAAATATGTGGTCATCTTTTGACAAGTTTATATTAGTTTATTAATTGCAGTAAACATTATAATATATAAATAAATTTTGTGAATGCAAATAATAATACATCACTATTAGTAGATATTGAATGTTTTTTGTTAAATTAGATCGATTTTCGAACCCCAAAATTTAAAATATATTTTACATTTTACCCATTATCTTATGTACCACCTATTCATTATTTTTATATTGTAAAACATTTGCTGCATTTGTATGGTTCATGTTTATTAGCCAAAGTATTTATTACAATAAATCGGTATATATTATATTGTATTTATTAACTGTATATTATGTATATTTCATGTAAACTATATCATTTTTAAAATACAAACCAAAAATACGAGGAATAATTATGTTTCCCATGTATTCTCCAACATATTTATTAATCCGTATTATCTAACTAGCGTGACGTCATAAATCTCGCCTCGTGGCTGTTCTAATAGAGACGGCATTGGTCTAATATTTAGAAATGTCAAAAGCTGATGACATTTTACTTTTGTCAATTATGACATTTCGTGTTGATTTTTGCAAGAAGAGGAAGAATTGTCACTTGTTTTATTATTTTCCTTTTCTATTTACGAAAGTAAAAAGAGTTACCTATCTGATTCGTTCAGGCTAGTTCAGGCACTCAATTTAAAGAATATCAGTAACTTTTTTGACAGAGGGATTTTATATTTGCCATGTTGGTAAAAAATAACGGTCAAAATTCAAAGTTATTCATTTTATAGACTATAGTTAAATAACAACCCATCACTAGCCGAAATAACCCCAATTATGACCCCACTAGCAAAACCGGTTATTAAAAATATGCTCGCTACCGTAGTTGAACTTACCTAATAATTTTTTTTTTTAACTGGAATAATAAATGATAATACAAGTTTAGACCTTCTGAAGATATCAAAATATTTACTTTTTATTTTTATTTTTCGAATTTTCACAAATTATACTTCCTATATAACACTCTTTTAGAATAATTATATAATAAATTTTTCGTATATTCGCTATTTAAACCCGTGTATTTGTATACACTAGTTGTTTACGATATTCTATATAATATATAATATATCCTATAGGAATCTAATGGTGATACCAAAGACATTATAAAGATAGACCGAACATCTCATTCATAAATACTCGTTGGTAGTGTATCAAACATTCCAATGTGTCAAACAAGGACAGAAGAGACAGAGAAGTCTAAAATTTCCGACCCCGGCAACTAGGAGCATTTCGATTGTTCTAATGGCCAGTGGCGTATCGTTTTTTGGAAAGCATTTAATTAGTAAAGTAAAAGTAAATTAATTAGTAAAATTTATACTCCATATTAATATACTACATTAACACTTTTTCGTCAGATGAGTTTTGTTATAAGGTCTAATATAATAATATAATTAATATCCCACATATACTTATGTTGAAACATTAGTAGGTAGTTTTCGAAAATCGCTCCAACGTCGATATTCAATTTAAACTTTCAGTTACTTCTATATAAACTTTCAGTTACTTTTGAATATTCACAGGGTGACTCAGGCTTCTGAAACAGTTCTATATTAGGTTTGTGGTTGGTGACATTTCTTTCAATTTTTTTTTCAGAATATGGAGGCAATGGTAAAGCAAATTTTAGACATTTTTGTAAACATAGGTGGCCGGAACATATTTTCAAACTAAAGTTGTAGATTTGCCATTAAATTTCCATTCCAGAAATACCTAGGGTTGCCACCTGTCCTTTTTGAAAAGGACAGTCCTTTTGGAATAACTTGTCCTTTTGACTTTTTGACTTAAAAGTAATTTTTATTTTCGTATTTTCCCTGAGAAAATTACCTACAGCAAACAGAAATATTCTTTTCGTCCAAATTTAATTAGAGATGTTATAAAACTTATAAATAAATTTTTCTTGTTTAGAATAGGCAACATTATTAAATAATGTTGCCTATTCTAAACAATTAAATATATTGTAATAATTACAATCTAAATTTTAGAACATCCCGTTTAATCTGAAATGATAGTTTAGGTTTTAGTTTTACCATTTTTGATCTTAAAAAGAACTTCAAAATTAGTAATTAGTAACGATTTAGTTAGTTCGCAATCGATAGCTTCCTGTGAAGTACTGTGTAATAGTTGTTTAATCTTGTATTATTAATAACTTCCTATACCTAAAATCAATATTTAATGAGAAAATTGAAAATTGATTCATTAAAAGTATCAAACCTGTGTGCTACAGTATGGGATTTCTGTCGCATAATAATGAATTACGTTTGCTTCATCTACGTTACCGTAGATGGAGCTCAAGGCTTGGTAGGGTATGTATAAATAAACAAAATACAAGAAGCAAAAAATTATTAAGGCCTAACCCCTACATATATGCTTATTCTCTGCATTAAGTTCATCAGACTGAAGGGAACAGCCATTCGACGACCGGTTTCGGAGATTTATCTCCATCGTCAGGTCGACTTTGCTGTAACCCTCAATCCAACAAACGAAAAGCATAAAAGCAGAAAATAGCATTTGAGTACAAAACGTACTACTATGGCGAGAGCAGCTAGTAGTAATAGGTAAAAAGCTTTTTTGGAGGCCTGGGTCACTCTATATATAGGTATGTATAAAACTAGTAGCCTAAGAATTATTTACAGTTCGTCCCATTCTAAAAAAAAGGTAAACACACCGTACAAATAACTCTAGGAAGAGGTATTTGTACAGTGGTAAAAAATTGTCTAAATAAGGCCGAAGTGGCAGATATAATAAAGCAATAAAATGTAAAAAAGGTCGGGTAACACCTTTGTTTATTTGTTGAGCAAAATTCCTTTAGAATATCATATATAATGACAAGAAATGACGCAATTTTAAGAAAAAAATGTCACTTTCTGGCTGATAATAAAATTTCAAATGCAACGTTTATATTCAAATTTGTTATGATCTACAACAGTTAGGTAGTCATTGAGACGAATTATAATTCAATTACTGGCTACTACGTTCTTGTTTTAATAGATTAATTACAAATATAATTAAAAATTATTTTGATTGGGAGAGGCTCCTTTGTGGGACGCCTATGTACAATGACGAAAACAATACATTCACCTGTGAAAAGACAAATTCGGGTAATTTGAGCTTATTTTTCCACACACTTGACACTGTCGTACCATACTGAATTCGCAGATTCAAAAGTACGTCAAACAAAAACAAAAACCACCGAAAAACACTGAAAGTTCACTTTCGTCTTGATTCCGACTTCAAACACACCGCAAGCTAAACGTAGTACGCTATAACGGACCAAGGGCCGTCGCGAGGGGTGGTGGGACGGACGGCTTATTTCATTCTGGAAGACTAGCAGCGACGTTGCCAATAGTTCTAGACGTTTCAGCACATTAAACAGTAAACATGTCCTTTAATAGTAACACATATATCCTCTGGTTAATAACATATTATTACGCATGCTTCTTTAAAAATAAACTATTAATTTAATTAAGAAATTGAGATTTATTGACATCCGGTAAAGGTTTTAAAGTCACCTTTTTCTGCAAATCAAACTGAGTAGATAGGCGCAAATTTGAGATGCGGCAATGTCGCCTTCTCTATCTCAGTTGGTTTTTACAGTACGTAGTCAACCTCCGATTGTTTGATCGGGTTAAAATGTCTAATGCGATATCTGTTCTTACTAAATCTATGGGTGATACTCACCCTTTTTTCCTCAACGCTAAACATGTTCTGAGCTTGCGCATTCACTGTTCTGCCCAGTTTATGCGTCTTTTCCTGAAGTAATTTTATTCTTCTCTCCAGGTCTTCGCCTTCTTTAGGCGTGAGCGATTCGCCTTTTTCCTTGTTATAATCGTTGTTACCGATTTTTTTCGCATACTCTTGTTCCTAAAAAAATAAAAAAATAAGAGGAAAAAAATTAAAATATATGATAATATTGTACCCTGAATTTGGAATTCTTGCAGGCACTTTTCAAGTCCTTCAATTCGTGGGAATACTTCTTAATCTGTAGCTCCAATTCAACGATCTGTGCAGCTAATTGGTCTTTTTTCTTTATCTTTCCTTGGACCTCTTTGTTCTTCTCTGTTATTATGCTTTTCAGTCTTTTTACTTCTGACTGACATTCGGACACATCTTTCTACAATTCGTAATATTAAATATTTAAACATACCAGAAAATTATACAGGGTAAGTTTAAATAAGTGCAAATATTTTCAGGCCTGGTAGATTTCGACAAAAGAAACATATTTTCTGTTTACCGTTTTTCAAATAAATCCAAAATAATTCGAGTTATTTTACTTTGAAAATTAAAAAAAATATATTTTTGCTTAAATTTTAAGAACCACTGGATCTTTTCTGGGTTTTCTTTCTTATAAATTTAATCTACTATGTTGCCATATTATAGAAAAAAAATAAAAAAAGTTACAAAAAAAATTTCAAACAAGTCCAAATTTTCTTTTTCGCGAAAAAAATCTCATGGGCGTGAATTATAATAACCTAAAAATATTTGAACATATTTAAGACTCACCCTGTATAATCTTAGACTCTAAGGGTGGTCCGAATTGTATTCGGGAAATTACGAATTATTAATTAAAAATTACGAAATTATTAATTATTATAATGGGGTCTTTCACTATATTTTGGAATTAGTATAATTGAATAAAACAATTAATTCTAGAATTTTCTGCTATCTCACTTTCGAAAAATTTGAAGTCGTTCTTAAGAAAATAAATAAAAACCAAAAAGCCCAGAATAAAAATCCGCACTTTATTTTTAATACGTCACACCTGGCATGTTGAAAAGCGGCAACAGAGCCGCGGCCGGGCCACCATGCTGGCCCATCACCACCTCCACACAAGACCATTCAACCTTTTCCAATATGGCGGAGATAGAAGTGCTGTATTTGGCGCGTATTTTAAACCCTGCTTTGTTTCCAAATAGACATTTTTCACACAAATGTCGGGTTAGATTACGTAATATTTCACTAATTTTTTAATTTACAGGGAGTCTAAAGTTCTCCACATAAGTATGGAATTTTTTGTATTATTACTTTTATGAAAACATCATTGTATGTGAGGGGCAATTGTGACCTAAAAAAAGACTTACATCCAGGCCATTTATATTTTCAAATGTCAATGTTGTCAATATCTTTCTCTGATCTTTTTGATGTAAAAAGCTTGATTCTTCTTCCAATTTACTTATAGTGAGGTAAATGTAAGCAGTAGCCATAACTACATCCTCACTAGGGTAACAGAGGCTTTGGCCTTTGACCTTTTTGAGGCATATTTAATGCACTTCTTACCCGAGAACTACTAGTAGGAGTGAAATTATCTCTTTTAATAGCTGTCAACCATTTTTTACGAAGCTCGTCATTTTTGAATTTGGAACAGAGCATGTAAAAGGCATGCTACAATAAAATGTTAATACCTACCCTTTAATACCTATATTTTAATTATTGTAAGTAACCATTATAAAGTACTATGCAGACTGGCGGCGAAGGCTTTTTACTCATTTAGGTGTAATATCTTGATAAATACTTCGCTAGTTCTTACCTTAAAATAACTAATAATAGAGGAGTACGACAAGCACAAAAGTTTGAAGTTCTCTATGTGGAATGTCTGTTTTGGATTTTTATTACACTGTTATTTTATCACAATTTTCTGATCATACCATGCACTGAACACTAAGAACTAAACAAACGTGTTACAGAAGCACAACAAACTAGAGATAATTAATTATTTCTTGTATGCAATCGGAACGAGAAACCACGACCGGCTTTTCAGGTTAAAGGTAAACAATTTAATAATGCGCTGCCTTCGCCGCCATATTTGCCTTGCCCATATATCATGTTGATTGGCTTTGAGTTGAGGTGGTGCTGGTCAAATCAAATCGCAATGTTGCCAGTTGTTGGCTGGCGCACGAGCACGGTTCTGCAATGTGATTGGGTGTATTTTTCATACGTCATCAATTGGCGCTTTAAAATTATTTCAAATTAAAGCAATTTTGAGGGCCTATAAAAAAATTATTCAATGTCGTGGAACTATTTTTTTTTGGATAAATATACTGAAAATAGTCTTCTATTTCAGATTTTGTTCTTGAATTGGGTATTTTATTTTTTGTGAAAGAGCCCATTATTCAATATTATATTCTGCAGATAAAAATAAGTAAAAAAGTTCGTATAAATTTATGTCCTAAAATGCTTAGTTTCGAAGATACAGGGTGTAAATCTATTTTTATTTCGATTTTTTCGAAATAATTTCTGAAGTAGCGTCAATATTTGAATGAAAATTAGTGTCTGGGAGTTTTTTGACATCAGAAATTTTATTTTGATATCAATATGACCCCTATTTGTAGGGGGCGCCACCTACATGTGTTTTAACTGTTTTGAAGAGTAATAACTTTTCGTCCGTAAACCTGTATAAAACTACTGAGTAAAAAAATATACATTTTCGCGATTTTTTACGTAAAAAAAGTCTCTTCTAAAAAAAATCGCTAAGAGCAACTGTTCTCAAGATATTTAGAACAGAAATAGTCAATACATGTCATTGTTGACAAAAAATAAACGCGTTGAGTAGATACAGTACGTCTGTCCGTTCTGTTGCTACGGGGTATCCGTGAGAAGGGAAACGATATTCTCTCGATGTTTTTCGTAAAAAAATAGACGACGCGTCCCATCAATAAAAATTCAACAAATTTGTAAGTAGCCAATAAAATGAGTTGGCGGAGCGATTTGCGGTGACGCACTCGTCAAATCAACGTATAAAATATATTCCTGTTTATTTAAATGTTTTTTGTCCGCATTCCTTTCATAGACACAGATCCAGCAGATGCACAGTAGTTATCTGACTGAAATGATAAATTTGGGAACTTCTTTATATTTTTAAAATAATCATATTTTTTCGAAAAAAAAATAGAACAGTCTCTGTTGAACTTTTAGCACAAAAACATTTCAAATTTATGATTTCAGTCTAATAACTATTAGGCAACATGTTTAATTTATGTCAATAATGACAGGTATTGATAATTTCGATTCCAAATATCTCGAGAACCATTACTTGTAGCGATCTTTAGCAAGAGACCTTTTTTACGCAAAAAACGTCGTAAACGTATTTTTTTTTGCTCAGTAGTTTTATACAGGAACGGACAAAAAGTTATTACTTTTCAAACCAGTTAAAAAATATTTAGGTGGCGTCCTCTACAAGTAGGAGTCATATTGACATCAAAATCAAATTTCTTATGCCAAAAAACTTCCACACACCAATTTTCATCGAAATAATGACGTTACTTCAGAAATTATTTGGAAAAAATCGAAATAAAAATGAAACTTCGACACCCTGTATCTGTATATGTTATACAAACTTTTTTACTTAATTTTATGTGCAGAATATTTTGCCGAAGTTTCCCAAATACAACTGAAACCACCCTATATAATATAGCAATTTATTTACCTTGGCCTCATCCAACTTTTCCAAAATTTGATCGTACTCTTCTTGCATTTTGGCAATACTTTCCTCGGTCGAAATAATTTCTTCTTTGGTCGTTTTTACCGTTTTGGTTAGCTCTTCGATCTCCAACGTCAGCGTCCGGTACTCCTGTTCCCTCTGGGCCCATTCCTTCTTGCTCTTGTCCGCTTGGCTTTTGGCCTTCTTCATTTCCGCTTCGGCTTCCTTGAGTCGCCTTTCTTGGTATCCAGTGGCGTCTTTCATTTTGTTTTCCAAGTCTTTGACTTTTGCCAGGCATTGTTTTTCTGTTTCCTGGCTGGTTTTTACTTTCACTTGGAGGTCCGCTGATGAAGAGATTATATACAGGGTGTCAATAAATATGTACAAACAAGTGGTGATATATCAAAAGTGATCGATTTAAAAAATGCATTGTCTATAATAGTGTTTGTTTTTGTAATGTTGGTGCTTATTAAGAGTAACATGCCTATAGAAGAAAAATCTGTTTAATGTCAATGAAGCTGTTTCATAAGATACCTTGTACTTGATTTAAAACCTTGTACTTGATTTTAAAAAAAAACATTGTCTATAATAGTGTTGGTTTTTGTAATGTTAGTGCTTATTAAGAGTAACATGCTTATAGAAGAAAAATCTGTTTAATGCCAATGAAGCTGTTTCATAAGATACCTTGTACTGATTAAAGGTCATAAATCAATGGTAAAAAAACTCATATGACACGGTTAATTCGATTCAAAATTTGGACCGCCGGCCGCGCCGTTCCTTGCATAAAGACCATATTTTTTTGTGCAATTTAATTAAAAATATACGGCTTTCAGTTCTCTTCTGTACAAATTAGCAAAAGTTTAAAAAAAATCTCCAAAAAGATTTGGTCGCCCCTAGAATTATAACAGCGCTTACCATTGCTTAATCTCGAATATTACGTAATTTATATAAAGACTATTATTTTTTATCATTTAATTACAAATGTATAGTTTAACGATTTGTCTCTATACTTGTAGAATAAGACGGTATTACTTGCGAAATTTCATAGCTCTAGGTCAACTGAAAATACTAAGTTTTAATTCCCTTGAGTGCGTCGAAATATACGTTTATCACGGCATAAACGGCAAATTCTTTTTTTACGTTAACTTAGAATTTTGATGTTTTCTCAGCTGCAAGAGACTGTAGACCTGAGTATATGGTTTTAATTTCAACTCGATACCTCCAAGCGTTCCCGAGATAAAAGGTCTTGACAGACAGACGGACGGACAGACAACAAAGTGATCCTGTAATAGTACCCATTTTTCCTTTTGAAGTACGAAACCCCAAAAACACTCTTAAAACTCTTCTCTCTTTTATTAAGAAAGCAAAAAATTTTTTACTCTTATATTCATTTGTAGTCATTCACATCTTGTATAGTAGTTCAAATGTACCATGCGCAATATACGTGTTTATTCGCTTCTAATATCAAATAAAACGATTAAGGAAGGATTATATACTAAGAAAATTAGCAAAAGTACCATACAATAGACAAAAAAAGCGTCATAGATGACTTGGAAATTGAAGATGCTGTCATAAATCGTGTATGTAAAATTATATAGAAAATTTCAACGATTGTTATTTCCGAACCAACTGGACGCTTTTTTCGAACGTACGGTATTTTAATATGACCGAGTAAAATTCCGGTTTATCAGGGAAAAATTCAGGTCCGTATTTCAAAAAAAAATTGTGTGTGCACTATGGAAGCATATTTTGAAGTGAGATTTCTTATTAACAGGTACTAAATTGAAGAATTTGAAGGACAGGTTTGAAAAAGTGACATAATGTAATGTTTTAAAATAAATAATATTTTCAATTTAATTCTGTAATGTGTACATTTTCTGTTTCCTCAATAGCCTGCAAATTTTGTGGAATACCACCCAAAATACACACTTTTATGCAAATGCCTAATAATGTTAACACTTAAATTTATTTCAGAAGAAAAAAATTTTTGAACCTAGCCAACAATTCGTATTTATAGTGGTTTACAGCAATTTTGTTAAATTATACGAATATTCTCGTTGATTATTGGTTTGAAATAAATATGAAAGTATCCTCCAATGAAAATGTGAATTACTAACTCTTAATTTTGAACTGCTGTGTACCAGTTAACTGAGCTAATACAGGCAAGTCTTGATAGCAAAGAAACAGCACTTTGTGCCTTCTTGGACATTGCAGGGGCGTTTGACAATATACCTCACAAGGTGGTCAAGCGATCTCTTGAAACAAGAGGGGTGAACGATAAGATAATTCGCTGGTTTTGGGAAATGCTCTCAACACGAACAGCAGAAGCTGAGATAGGTACCAAAACTGTGGTTGTTAAAACAACGCAAGGAACTCCACAAGGTGGAGTGACCTCCCTCCTATTGTGGAGCTTGGTAATGGATGAACTACTGGAAGAATTAACTCTAGCGGGAATACACTGCATAGGGTATGCAGATGACATAGTCACGATTGCACGGGGGAAACATGAAGGCACCCTGTGTGATATTATCCAAAGATTGAGAGATGGTGCAGGACTGTCGGGCTGAGTATCAACTCAGATAAAACCGCGGGAGTGCCATTCACCAGAAAGCGAAGTTTGAAAAACTTGAAAAGAATCCATCTAGATGGAAAGGTAATACTGCCATCACAGGAAGTGAAATATCTAGAAATAACCCTGGATAGTAAACTTCTCTGGAACAGGCATATTAAGAACATTACCAGCAAAGCCACAAAGGCTCTCATGATATGCAGAAGACTGGCGGGAAATAAGTGGGGCTGCGCCCCAAAAATTTTGCGTTGGATGTATACCATGATAGTAGGACCCATGATTATATATGGAGCAGTTGCTTGGTATACAAAACTATAGCAACGTACAGCAAGGCAAAACCTGTGCAAAGTACAGAGACTGGCATGTATCTGTATCACAGGTGCCATAAGAACATGTCCAACAGCAGCAATGGAGGTCATTTTAGACCCAGCACCACTGCATATTGTCGTCGGTAGTTATGCCAATACGACAATTAGAATGGTCATAGACGGAAACAGTACTGGGCAAATTTTTAGGTCAGGGGCTTGGAACACCCTCAAAAAGAAAATTCCACTTCTCCAACTCCCAGTGGATGACATACCAAGAATTTACAACGTTGAGAAACACCTCACTGTAGTATTGAGTAATAAAAAGGATTGGAAGGAAGAAACGCTTAGGGCATATAAAAGACCATACCATAACGTGGTATACTGATGCTTTCAAAACCAAAGCAGGGACAGGGATAGGAGTATTTGGGCCGAAAACCAAATACTCCGAACCAATGGGCACCTACCCCAGTATCCTTCAGGCAGAAATTTACGCTATCGAAAGATGTGTACAATTTATCTTAGACAGGAACTATCGAAAACAGGAAATTGCCATCCTATCCGATAGTTATGCAGCACTAAACGCGATCAACTCAGTAACCATCAATTCGAAGTTGGTCAAAGAATGCCTAGAGAAGCTCAACAAGTTGGGCAAAGAAAATAAAGTCCTCCTACTCTGGGTGCCCGCTCACCAAGGGATAGAAGGCAATGAAAAAGCAAATGATCTAGCTAGGAAAGGAGCGAACACTCCACTAACTGGACCAGAACCGTTCTGTTTTCCAAGCGGAAACTAGCTGAAAACGGAACTGAAGAATCTGGAAGACTCCAACCGCAACTTAGAATGGGTATCTTCCAACGGTCTAAGACACTCGAAAAAGTTCCTACGACCGAAAAAAATCAAAGGCTTTCCTTGATTGGTAAAAACAATCTTCGGATTGTCACGGGGTTTCTAACAGGACACTGTCTCCTCAACGAACACCTCAGTAGGCTCAAGCTGAGAAACAACGGCGAATGCAGATTCTGTGGGGAATATGGGGAAACACCAGAACACCTCATCACTGAGTGCGCCGAGACGACGACCATTCGTGCCATGAACTTTGGTACGGCTGATGTCAAGGATGGAGAGCTGGTCTCTATGGAGCCGTCTCAGATACTGGCTTTTGTTAAAGCCTTGAGACTGTATGATGTGTTATAACTCGTTATAGCTCAAGAAAGGGGAACACACAATAGATCTTTAAGGTCGCGGTGACTAACTCCCCTCCTAAACATTCTACATTCTACAAATCTAAATTCTAATTCTAAGCTGGCAACTGAGCTAGATGCTTTACCTAGACCGTTATTCAGAAGCTACAAACCTATCGATGAAAATATGCATGAAAATTTACTTCCTAGCACACAACTATAGGATATTGGTATACAGGTACAGTATCAAGTTTATTATAGTGATTTCCTTAGCCGCGTTATGGCACAGATCGTGGCCGCGAGTTAAATTGTTTTACAAAGGGGTTGATCTACCCCGAATGGGGTAGCTGCGGCAACACTGCCGTTGCCACTTTTCCTGACGCTGGCTCGTGTGTCACGGCCTTGGATTTCCGAAGGCGCGTAAAGCTGTACGCACACTGGTGCGATCACGGCCGCGATCGCGATCTCCACGCGGCCGCGGCCAAAAGTTGCTGAAGAATACATATGAGTCGTTTCACATTGGTGCGATCGAATTTTGGAGACGAAGCGGCCTGGCGGCGTTCTATTCTGCGGTGGCGATCAGATTCAACTTGTCGAGTTTGATCGCGTGATCGCGACCCAACTGATAAGAATTTTCCGTTATTTTGTGTGTTTTTTCTTGTTGCAATTTAGAAATGGAAGACAGAAATTAACAGAGCAGCTAATTAAGGCTGTAAAAATACACAAAATTCTATATGATTTATCTGATCCAAGTTACAAAAATAATAGAATTAAAAATAAAAAGTTTGAGACAAAATTGGAGTTGCAATTGGATTAGATAGTACATAATATGTATACATTTTTATTGTTTAAGTTTAAATATTGTATAGGTAAATATTTAAGAATGTTTTTTTCTCGGTATACATAATTCACATTTTTAATTTGTGCCTATGTATACCTACAGGATAGCTCACTACATTATAGGTACGACGGTGAACGTGAACGCGTTGGTGTGTGCTAGAATGATCGCTCATGTTATCGCTGCCCTGATCGTGATCGTGATCGCGGCCGTGATCGCGCCAGTGTGCGTGTAGCTTTAGGAGTTGCACTTCAAAAATTATGTTGAACATGGTATCTCGGAAACGAAACGTCAGTAGAGTAAGAAAAGCAATAGGAAAGCAATGGGAAATAATATGGATATAATATTATTTTTTGTAAATTCATTTATATTTTTTTCAGAGATAGTCAAGATATTTCTGAAGGCGCCTGATGCCACTCTTTTTGACTAACTTCACTTTATTTATAACCGCTAAGTTCAGTTCGATCCCTTATTGCTTATTAGCGCCACTATGGTCTTTTAGTGAACCCTTATTTTCCCCTTTTAAGTGGCTACTTTTTCAAAAAAAAAGTCCCATTTTCTTAGATTCTCCTTAGAGTCGTACCTATTTGTTTCTTCAAAGTATCCAATTCTTCCTTCTGTCTAGCGAATGTGGTGTTCATTAATCTGTGGTTAATCAACTTCAATTGATGTTTAGCGATTTCCAGCTTGTACTTCAAAGAGTTGTACTGTTCCTGAGTTCCGCTCAATTGTCTCATTTCGTTTGTTATCTGTGTCAATTCTTCTTCTTTAATTCTTAATTCATTCTAGAATTTGACTTTTTTAACTATTAAATGATAAACCATAATTAAAACTCATACCTCAAGTTTTATTATTTGTTGAAGTTGTTTCAAAATCGATTCTCCTTTTTGTCTGGCACCACCACTAAGAGTACCTAAAAAACACAATAACATTATTTTAAATAGATATTTTACACTTACTTTCAAAAATCCTGTATACAAAATTCATAATGTTTATTCTTATACAGAAAAGTCCACAGACTTCGAGACATAGGAAAATCAAGTCCATTTAGCGTGTGTCCAAATTTTGACAAGTTTTCAACAGGGTTGGCAAATATCATGATATTTATATAAATATCAAATATCGGATATATATCCGATATATATCTGATATATATCCGATATATATCTGATATATATCCGATATATATCAAGTTTTGATATTTATTTTTTATGTCAAACTGCGTTTAGTATCAAGTAAAACGAAGAGCTCAAGCAAATATTTTTATTTCAACTTAATTATTGCCGCTTTGCACATAATATGAACAACATTTAAACAAAAATATATAAAAAATATACAGAAATTTTAAAAAATAAACAGAACTTCTAAAAAATAAACGGAAATTCTAAAAAATAATCAGCAATTCTAAGAAATAAACGGAAATTCTAAAAAATAAACAAATACTCTAAAACTAACTTTACATATAAAATGACAGGCGATCTTTATTTCATAGCCATCGCTGACGCCTTTTTTCTATGATATTGTATTATTTGCAAATATAATTTTTCGAACATTAATAACAATACATCATTATTAGTAGATATTGAATATTTTTTGTAAAAATAAGATCGATTTTCAAACCACAAAATTTAAAATATTTTTCATTTTAGCCATTACCTTATGTACCTATTCATTATTTGTACTGTATGATCGAATAAAAACGGCGTCCGGTTGGCTGGGAAATGACGATCGATGACATTTCCCATATAAATTTACATACAAAATGACAGCGATCTTCATTCCATAGCCATCGCTGACGCCGTTTTTTCTCGATCATACGGTATATTGTAAAACATTTGCTGCATTTATATGGTTCATAGTTTATTTGCCAAAGTATTTATTCCTATAAATAGGTATATTGTATTTATTAACTGTATATTATGTATATTTAATGTAAACTGTATCATTTTTAAAATACAAACAAAAAATAGGAGGAATAATTATGTTTTCCATATATTCTACAACATATTTATTAATCCGTAGTATCTAACTAGCGTGACGTCATAAATCTCGTTCCGCGGCTATTCTACTAGAGACGGCATTGGTCTGATATTTAGAAATATCAAAAGCTGATGACATTTTACTTTTGACAATTATGACATTTCGTGTTGATTTTTGCAAGAAGAGGAAGAACTGTCACTTGTTTTATTATTTTTCTTTTCTATTTCACGAAAGTAAAAAGAGTTACCTATCTGATTCGTTCAGGCACTCAATTTAAAGAATATCAGTAACTTTTTTGACAGAGGGATTTTATATTTACCATGTTGGTAAAAAATAACGGTCAAAATTCAAAGTTATTCATTTTATAGACTATACCATTACTTTGGATAAAATTAACAAAATTGAAAATTAAAAAAATTAAATTTTTTTACAGTAAATCTCACTACTCAAAGTATCGAGTCACTTACAAGCTGTCAATGCTGAAGTAAACAGTTTGCGACATTTTTGACGTTTATAGCAAAGCTGCCTATGATGATATTAATTATTTAAAAATACTTGTCCCAACATTTAGTTGTCAGCAAATTTGTCCTTTTATGAACAAAATCCGCTACTGTGAATATGGATTGATTTACAAATTCATAAAAATATTGTCAAGTTGTTTAGGATATATGGCTATGTTTATATTTAAAAAATTAAAATTCATTCATTTCGGTCATTTTGAAAAACCAGGGCAATAATTCCATAATATGACCTTGTCCCAACATATAGTTGTTAGGGCTCGTATTACAAGCGTTTTGCTCTTCCAATCCTTCTGAGCAATAAGAAGGATTGGAAGAGCGAAACGCTTGCCCAGCAGTTAAAAGACCATACCATAACTTGGTATACTGATGCTTCCAAAACCAATACGGGAACAGGGATCGGAGTGTTTGCGCCGAGAGCTAATTACTCCGAACCAATGGGCACTTACCCTAGTATCCTACAGGCAGAAATCTACGCTATCGAGAGATGCGTACAACTTATCTTAGATAGGAACTATCGGAAACAAGAAATAGCCATCTTATCTGATAGTCAAGCAGCGTTAAAGGCGATCAACTCAGTATCAATCGATTTGAAATTGGTCAAAGAATGCATAGAGAAGCTGAATAAATTAGGCAAAGAAAACAAAGTCCTCCTACACTGGGTGCCTGCTCACCAAGGGATAGAAGGCAATGAAAAAGCAAATAATCTAGCTAGGAAAGGAGCGAACACTCCACTAACTGGACCAGAACCGTTCTGCTTTCCAGTGGTAACCGACTCAAGGCGGAACTCAAGAACTTGGAAGATTCCATCCGCAACCTGGAATGGAAATCTTGCAATGGTCTAAGACACTCGAAGAAGTTTCTGAGGGCTTATGATCAAGAAAAATCACAGATCTTCCTGGGTCTGAGTAAGAACAATCTTCGGATTGTCACGGGGTTTTTAACAGGACACTGTCTCCTCAATGAACACCTCAGTAGATTGAAACTAAGAAGAAACGGCGAATGCAGATTCTGTGGGGAAGATGGTGAAACACCAGTACACCTCATCACTGAGTGCGCCGAGACGACGACAACCATTCGTGCCATGAATTTTGGTACGACTGATAGTGGAGATGGAGAACTACCCTCTATAAAACCGTCCCAGATACTGGCTTTTGTCAAAGCCCTGGGACTGTATGATGAGTTATGATTCAAGAAAGGGGGACACAATGGATCTGTAAGGTCGAAGTGATTAACCCCCTTCCCACTCATTCTAAATTCTAAAAAAAAAATTCTAGGGCTCGTATAATAAATTCACCTGAAGGGTCAGTTGAATCGCCGTCCAATGTGACGCATCTTTTCCGGATCCTATCGTGAAACGTCACTTTTTTAGCTACGTTTATGTCCTTACAAATAAATACGTTGCCGAACACGTATTGCATGGCTGCCGATAAGGATTTGTCGTAGTTTATCAAGGACAAAGCCGGCATACAATTTTCTTCACCCACCTGTAATAAATTCAGTAATGTGTTCTGTGGTTTTTGATTTTTTAGCAACTTACCAAATTTTGAGCCAAGCGAATAGTGTTTTGATCCATACTGCTCGACGATATTTTATTTAAAGGAATAAAAGTAGTTCTTGTCTGAAGATCGCCTTTTTGTAGCAGTTTCCTACTTGTGTCATCAGTGTCAACGACAACATTAAACAACTAAAGAAAAATTACAGAAATCTTGATTTTTTAGTCAACATTTTTTTATTGTTGTCACATCCTGTACAGAGCGTCCCGTTTTCGTGTGGTTTCTAGGGTTTCTCGTTTATGAGTAGAGATATACAGATATAGTATATTTATATTAGACCTAAAATAGCCGAATAGAAGAAAAAATTTAAAAATATTTTTGTATGTTGAGATTAGACGCACCAAAAGGCGACTTTTCAAAATCAAAAGAGTTCTTAACTTTAAAGTGTGAGCTTCACCCCCAAAAAACACCCCCAATACGCCCCTCAATGGTTTTTCGCTTTTTTCTCAGAACCCGTTGCCCCCACAAAAAAAATTATACTTACCGAAAATATTCCTTATGAAATTTACTACAAAAAAGGTTCTATTCATTATTTATATTTATCCAGTGCATTTCGAGCAATAACCGTTTGAAAAATGGAGTACAAAAAAATACAGGTCCCCTTTCAAATTATAGTCTCCCAAGGTATTTTTTACGTGCTAAATATACACGCAACATATCATAATAATAATAATAATAACTTTATTTAATAATAATAATAATACAACCGAATGAAGCTATGATATACTATTTGATATTTAACAAATATTATTCTAAATATTATCTATCGGATGAAGTACCTAGATGTGTAACATCTGTATGTACTTTAAAGGTATAATGAAACTTTATTTTATTTTAAAGGATATTCCATAATATCAAAACTTTACATAACTTCGACGTTTTGTTACATTTTTATTTATTGACATTTTTGCTCCTTAATGCTAATTTATACGTGCCCAGTAGCTGGCGCCAATATAACTAGTACACCAGCACTATCATGGTGTTGACATCATGTATACACTACCGTCTCAATCACTGGCATGAAAAAGTGTTTACTACTACTGGATATACGTGTTAAGCTTGATTTTCATGCGTTCGTTATCCGTTGATACGATGGTCCAACGGCGCTCTGATTCATAGTGATCATCATAACGATTTCGCGCCACTTTTCATCCGTTAATTTTTTACTCCAGCCCGTCAATGGAGAAAGATCGTACGATAACGGACGTTCTGACATTTGTTTGACAAATTTAATTTAACCTTAATAAAAATATAATAGTACAAGGACTAACAACGTCGAAAAAACGAGAATTTTAAGAAAGCTGGTTCTTTAATGTATATTTTGCTATGCTCTCCTGACCAAAGTGCGGGCCATCTGGCTGCCTGATGTAAACTACTGTGGTTCACTACTGCGCATCACATTCTCGTTTATGATGCCATTTTCACATTATTTTGCTACTTTTTTATGAAACTTGTAGCATTTTTTATTTCCTTTAATAAAATTGAATTTAAAATTCTATTTTTATTTAAATTTCTTAGTATTGGCGCCATCTATTTGCTAGATGCCAAAGATATCAAACTTCATTTATTACAGTTCACTTGTCTTGTTTATTAGCGCCATCTATTCGCTATATGCCAAACTTCCTTAATTGTATTTCACTTGTCCCGATATTTAATTTTTATTAGCGCATCTATTCGCTAGATGTCAAACTTCATTTATGACAGTTCGGTTCTGAAACTGAGAAGAAGGTCTTTTTTTCTGGGAATTTGGATCTGAAGAAGACGCGTGTTTCGGCGTCCGACAAATTTTCCAGTGAAAAGCACTCTGAATCCACTTTTCGATTTCCATTGCATGGGTATCCGATTTGGAAATTTGAAAACCTTGTAAAGTATGCAATCCAGAGTATAGATCGTATTTGTTTGGTTTCTTCTTGGAATGATCACCGTAAGTTTATCCGCCATTTTATGTAGCCCTATCTAACTAAATTCTGTTTCAGTTATTTCCGTTTTTTATTTCGTTTATTTGAGTATTTAATTACTGGTTTGGATCGGCATATGGTTTGAATATATTTATGCAAAGCTGATTTTCAGACCGTAAGTTGTTTTTTTATTGAGTATCTGTCCTGAGAACTATTTTTTATTTATAGAGTAACTACCACATGGTACTCAGTAACTACCACATGGTACTCAGTAACTACCACATGGTACTCAGTAACTACCACATGGTACTCAGTAACTACCACATGGTACTCAGTAATTACCACATGGTATGCAGTAATAATGCAGTAATTATTGTATGTTTCACCAACTTTCATTTTGTATGGACCTATGCAGACCTTAAGACAGTGTTCCTGACATTACAATCGTTCTTTTGGCTGATATCGAAGACTTCTCCTGCCATAGTCATCTGCATCCACTTCTGTTAGTCTGGAGAATACGTACCTACCTGTTTACATCATAAGAAACTATATACAGATAAGTCTCTCTTAAGTTTAATACACAAGGTACGCTTTTATTTTACAATTTTTGAGACAACAGATTTAATAACCTGGTAAATTATCACTATTTATCCCACATATTGTAGTCAAAATTATTTTTTATTTAACGTTATAAGTTATAATTTGATTCGTACAGTACACTCTTACTTAGCTATGATATTTTATATGAAAATTATTAACACGTATTCATTTTAAAGGCTTTTGTACACGACATGTTTCGAAACATCATCGTATTGGGACATACATAAATTTCACCTGTTTTTATTAAGTAGCTTACTTAGTTCAAAGAATACAGTTACTAAATTTAAATCTATTTAAAATAACTTGCGGTTATATTGGGATCACTGTGACTAATTGATGATACTTGTGTTCGTTTTCAATAAATGTTTAATGTAGGATGGTTATTTCTGACTTTTATTCCTGATAAACATAATAGACCCTTAATGCTGTTGATTACTTTATTTTAGCTATGTTGTGATATCGTATTTTTCTTTTGGTTTCTTACTTTACCACTCTCATAAACAAAGTAAGTGGCGCCCTTTTCACTGTCTTTGACCATACCTATTTGAATTCTTAACATCAATATTAAAATCTCTGCAACCTACATATTATCATTTTTTTATTTTTTAACAACATTAGAAAGTCACTGTGAGTCAGAAGCCTTACCTACGAACCCAGCTTTCCTCTAACCCTGAGCAACGGATTCTTTTTTCATTCTATTTGGGTAACGAAGAAAAGTCGTCACAAACTAAATATGCTACACATTTATGAAACTAAATATGCTACATTTATGAAACTAAATATGCTACTAGCCTCCTTAGTTCCAGAAATACAAGGCGAATTTGTGATGCGCAGTATAGTGAACAGATGTTGAATACAGATATGATGCGCAGTAGTGAATAGTGTTGCACCAGAGTCTTGAAAAAGTCTTGCAAGACCAAGGCTCTTGCAAGAAATTCAAGACAAGACTTTAAAAATTTCTTGTCTTGAATTTCAAGACAAGACAAAATTTTAATATGTAGTGGTAAAAATAAAGGTCTAACAACCATAAGCAAATGGCAGCTGATTTATATTTTGAGCGGTATCCAGAGCGCGAGCAACCAAACCCAGCCATTTTTAAAAGGTTAGAAGATAGTTTAATCAATTTTGGATCTTTTCAAAAACCGCGTCCGAAAAATTATCAAAAAGATAATCAATAAAATCAATATATTAATGTCCTCGGAGCCGTAACACTAGATCCAACAACATCAAGTAGAACTATTGAAATGCTATTAGTGGCGGCGCCGGCGCACAGTGCTTCGAACATATGGCTCTAGAGGACAAAAATCCAAAACTTCACTTTTATTGTAAGCAATTTATTCAAACTAGGTTTATTTGACACAAATGATGAGTACTCTCATTGTACTAAATGATGACGTTCTTAGTCCCACGTTTATGAAAAAAAAATCTTATAAATAATAATAATGTTGGAGCTGTGTTCCATCTAAGCAAATAATAAGTTATAGTATGAAAACGGTGTAAGTATTAAATAAATCCCGGTGATAAAAAAGAATTGAAATAACATTAGAACGTGATTCCTACAATATAAGCCTAATATAAGATAAAAATGTTTTTCTTTAATGAAAAATAAACATTGTTATATTTAATTAAAAAAAAACTTAAGATACTATAAATTTACTTTAGGACAACAAAATGCATAGATCGTAACAACTCTGATTCAGAAGAATCACTGCTGACAGAATCTTCCAAATTTATAGTATCCAAATCACAGGTAGATGAAGTATCCTCACATGTAAGATATTTCTGTACATCATTTTCTAATATGTTACTTTTTCGCGTTGTTACTGTTCATTTTGTCGGTATGAGAGGTTCGATGTTAATAGTTACCTCTTTAATAGACCATATCCATATATTATTTTTTCCTTTTCTTGGGTATGAGATTTTATAATAAATTGAAAGATGGACACTTTTTTTTATGCGACGTTTCGCTCCAACATAGTGGACTTTTCAGGCACAAGTGGTGTCTCATTTGGCTGGAAGGTTCATCAATATCTAATAAGAACATATTTTTTGAAATACAAATAATTTTGAGTTCTTGTCCTTATGATCAAGCCAAGTATTAACCAGATCGGCATTGCTTATCAATTTTACTCCATCTGAAAAGTATTATAAAATAAAGTTCGTCGCAAGCAGACGCAGGTGAACTATACAAAAATTAAAGGTGTATGAATATGGCAACAAAAATATTTAATAAATACGGTATGTTTTGATATGTTTTTTTAAATGCCTTTTTGAAGTTTGAAAACGTAAAATTTTTATACCCATTTAAGAATCATCTTAAAAAATAAATAAAAACTAAACAATCACGAACTTGTTTAGAAATAAATTTAAAGTACAGACCTTGTTTAACAATATCCATAGTGGCTTTCAATTAAGTACATTGCATCTGCTTAACTCCACAATATACAGAACTACTATAATTGTTATTCTTTTCACTGATGAGATAATGATCGCAAAATTTATTTTTAGTGAAAATATTTGCTAACAAAAACGCTGTATATGAAAAATAATATACAGGATGGTTGAACATTGCTATAAGTATAAAATTATATATTCAGATATTAGTAAATTTTAACTTATTTTTTGATTTTTGTCCATGGGACGAAGCACTGTGCGGCGCGGCGTGCGGAGACGGTACCAACTCTGTCTAGATAATAATGGGCAGCGCATCAGTCTGAACATTTAATGTAGTCTTTGTGTTTTTATTTTTTTTATATTAACTGAGAAGCCGATTGACGTAACCTCTTGAGTTTATATTAAAATATGTTCTTTTGTTTCTGTCACATTTATTTTTTATTTGCTTCGTATTGTTCGATTTCATTTAATTGCTAATTCATGTATTCGGCTCCGAGGACATTAATATATTGATTTTCTTCATCTTCTTTCTGATCATTTTTCGGACGCGGCGGTTTTTGAAAAGATCCAAAATTGATTAAACTATCTTCTAACCTTTTAAAAATGGCTGGGTTTGGTTGCTCGCGCTCTGGATACCGCTCAAAATATAAATCAGCTGCCATTTGCTTATATTTGTTAGACTCAATATAACATTCTAACATATTATATTTCTCAAAATTTTCAAATTGACTATTTTTTTATTATTTAAAATACACACACTTCAATCTGTTGAAATGAAGTGTCCCGCATTCATCAAAGGTATGTTTCGATCACCATAACAACCACTTACTTTGTTACTCGGCGCGGCCTACTATCTACTAAGTGGATATTTTAAGAAAAATTTGAAATGTTGAGGTTAATAGTGAAAATAAATATAAAGTGTTAATTTTTGAGAAGCCCATGCCAAGCTGAATAAGAAAATTTAAAAATATACAGGGGTTAAAGAAACATAAGTATAGTTAATATCTCAAAAAATATTTTTTTTTTTGAAAAAAGTCTGACTACGCCACTGCATTCTACCCAGAAAAGTGCCTTTAGAATGTATAATTCATTTTTCCGTGGTTGCTGAAATAAACAAACTATCGAACATCTTCAAAAAGTACAAAATCTGAGAATCCCCCTGTAGCTTCGAAACCGATCAAGATAGCCACGATCCGTTTGCGCCATTGTATTTTTTTCAAAAAAAGAACCCGAGACCGCAATATCAAAATTTGAATATTTCTCACGGTTTCCTAGATACCCTATAGAAACAACCAAAATGGTTCACCCTGTACATATTTTTTTAATAACAAAAATGGCATATTACAGCAGGATCAGAAAACAAAAACTGGAAATGCTTACCTTACCGCCAGCTGCTGTCTCTAATGCTGTAGCATACCTATTGTCCTTCAAATTAATTAATTTACACACAACCCCCTTTACTCGAGACCTATTGAAATTCGGTTCAGGATCTCTATATTTGCAGCTGGTATATGGTTTGCTAGCTTCGAAATTTTCAACAGAGTCCCTCAAATTTCTCACTTCTACGTTCAAGGTTCTGATGTGTTCTTGCAAGTCGGCCATACGAGTTTCTGAATAGTTTAATTTGGCCATAGAAGACTAAAATCGAAAAGAAAAAGGTATTATTCAAGTAATAATTCAGAAATTTGCCAAAAATTATTAGGTAATTATTTACTATAGTGGGCGTTTTTCAAAAGTGGCTCTCCCATACGACATTTTTATTTTTTCAGATAAAAAACGAGATTTGGTATGTTAGTATAGGACATAAATCAGGATTGATTGACGTATTCAATTAGTTTCGGTCGTTTCCTGTTTCACCGGAAATGACTACATATATATTCTATCCTACAGATATTCTGAATAGAATGACATATCACATGTCAACATTTTTATTTCAATCTAGAATGTCACGACAATAAATATAACGACAATTTGACTCGAAATACCTATGTTATAGGGCCTGTTTCTCTCTACAATTTCCTGTCTCACAATATACCGTTTGTGTCCGGGAAGGGTTCATAGTATCATAGTTGTCTATTTTCGAAAGAAATCAGTACATGTACATTATTTCGTATATTTTTCATTTTATTGATTTTATGGAAAGCACTGTTCATTAAAATGTTGTATCCTATGTTATAGGGCTTGTTTCTCTCTACAATTTCCTATCTCACAATGTACCGTTTGTGTCCGGGAAGGGTTCATAGTTTCATAGTTGTCGATTTTCGAAAGAAATCAGTACATGTATATTATTTCGTATATTTTTCATTTTATTGATCTTATGGAAAGCACTGTTCATTAAAATGTTGTATCCTATGTTATAGGGCTTGTTTCTCTCTACAATTTCCTGTTTCACAATGTACCGTTTGTGTCCGGGAAGGGTTCATAGTTTCATAGTTGTCGATTTTCGAAAGAAATCAGTACATGTATATTATTTCGTAAATTTTTCATTTTATTGATTTTATGGAAAGCACTGTTCATTAAAATGTTGTATACTATGTTATAGGGTTCATAGTTTCATATACCCAGTTAAGGCTTTTCATTCATTTTTTAACCTGCGTGATTCCATTCTAAGCAGGTTAAGCGGAACATGGTTGTAGTAGATTTATAAATGACTTGCTACGTCTATTCTCTTAGTCTAAGTTGTACACTTCAAGAAGGTTATGTCGTTATTTTCTATAATTTTTAATAAAGATAGTACTACAGAAGTAAATTGTAATTTTGAGATATGTGGATCAGCTTGAATATTGAGGTGATCCAATATTCTTAAAAGTTTTATTTGTTCTAACTTCCAACAACATTCTTCCTCACCACACTCATCTTGTACAGGGTGGGTCAAATACGACGCTTTTAAATGGAAACACCCTTTCATATAGGAGATAGACAAAAGAAATCAGTATCGGTATCTGGAGCTCAATTTTTGTCAAAAAATTGATGGTGGAAACCACTATTCATTATCTGTTGTATCCTATGTTATAGGGCTTGTTTCCTCTCTACAATTTCCTGTTCGAAAGAAATCAGTACATGTACATTATTTCGTATATTTTTCATTTTATTGATTTTATGGAAAGCACTGTTCATTAAAATGTTGTATCTTATGTTATAGGGCTTGTTTCTCTCTACAATTTCCTGTCTCACAATGTACCGTTTGTGTTACGGGTTCATATTCAAAAAATATGCATTTTCGAACAAATCACTGTAACTTTTTTATTATGGAAAATTTTTTCATTTTATTGAAAAACATTTCCAAAGCAACTTTTACATTAAAATTTTGTATGGTTTAAGTATATATTTTTTTTAAAATTAATAATTTAAGAATTATCAACAGAAAATTTGATTTTTATATGGGATACCCTGTATATTTTCATAGTTGTCTATTTATTGAAAAAGAATTTAAAATACCTTTCCAAAAATATCGTATACTTTTTCATTTTATTGATTCCTCTTCGAGTTATGGAAAGCACTGTTCATTTAAATAAGTAGGCTTTAGGGCGACACCGGCTGTAATCAGGGTTCGGAAAACTACATGTACCTTTTGTAACCGGGATAAACTACATTACATGTAGTTAATGTATTTTATGTAAGAAATCAGTACATGTTTATGTAACCTATGTATGTAACTTTCAAATATCAAAGGTTTGAGATGAGGTTATAATAAGTTGATGCTTGGCTCACAATATGTATTTACATCATATTATCTCTATTACACCTCATACAAAGTTGTCTATTATTCATAATATCAATACATAGTTTATTAACGTAGTTTTTCATTTTAGTTAATGAATGGAAAAGACAGTTTTTCAAGAAAACTACATCTTAGTTAATCAGGTAAATTTCGTCTTAATTTCCTACTCTCACAATGTACCGTTTGTGTCTGGAATGGTTCATAGTTTCTAGCTGTCGATCAATTAAAAAGAAAATAAGTATTTGCTATTAGAGATGCAGAATTATGTAACAATTTAAAATGATATTTAACCAGCATCAACACATTTAAAATGTTGTATCTAATGTTATAAAATAAAATAGCAAAATTTTCTGACATAAGATTTTTGTCCGGGACAGGTGTTCATAGTATCATACCGTCTCTGTTATGGACAGAAATCAGTACAGTTTAACATTTCGTATATTCATTTCAACTCAGTTGGGAGTTAAAGATACCACTCTCCATGGCTCTCTGGGCTACTCTTAAATTTTCTGCTGACTTTTTTCGTTAATGTGAGAGTTTCCGCTCCATAACTGTAATGTACCGGCTAAACTAACAAGTGTTTCTAATTCTTCTTCTAGATTATACGTAAGAAGAAGGAACCTTTATTCTTCTGCAAATATATCCATAAGATTAGATCCATAGGCATCAAGTCAGGCGGCCTCTGACGGCCAACGGTGTTTGGGATCTTGGTGAGCTATTCAATTATTCCTGAAATATTTGCATAATGTGTTTCTGATAACTTCAGCGTTCAGAGGCGGTGATCGTCTTGTGTCAAAACTATGTTTGTCAGTTCCATTAAGCGTTATACATCAATATTTATCCGGAGCCCGACTAGCAATGAATATCTAGCACGCAACAGAAAAATACTAGAAATGAAAGAGCTAAAATTGCAGATGGGCAATACTAGATGGCGACAATATCATAATCAAGAATATAATTAGAAGATTTTTAGAATTTTCGGTTTTGGATCGACGGCTCGTCGAGAGGCCTTATAACTCGGCTAAATATGCACAGTTGCCAGATTCAAAAGACTTGAATTGCTGGAAATTGGATGATGACGGCCCAAAATCGAGACATGGAGAAATATGGAGGAGGCCTACGTTCAGCAGTGGACAACGATGGCTACTGTTCATTAAAATGTTCTTTCTTATTGTTATAATGCTTGTATGTATTTATTTTCTGTCTCACAATGTACCGTTTGTTGTCAGATACACTTCATATTAATTAGTTCCTTTGGCTATTAAAATCAGTTTTATGTATATTATTACAAAACATATATTTTATTTTTTATAAACACTATACATTATAATGTTGTAACTAAGAAAATACCTTTCATTACTTTTAAAATTAATAGTATACAGGGCGATTGATAGTGATATTTATTAATGCTGGAACGTTAGTAATGAAATATAAGTTTAATAATAATGGAAATAATTTAATAAAATGCACTTGCTAAAATATTCTCTTACTAAGAAATACTATAATAACAAATTTCTGTCGTTATTTGCCATAATTATTTATATAAAGATAGACCTACAGGTAGATTTTAAAAGTGAGACAGGTGGACAATTAATATTATATTAGTTATTCATAAAAGTTGCTGTCATTTGTTCTAACAATAAATTAAAATTCATAAAATAAATTAAATTATTAAATAAAATAAATCTTTATAAAGAAGTTCATACCAAATTTGGGGCCCAATCAACTCCAGGAAATGATATCATAATAGTGTACTATATTATGGGACCACTGGGATATACACTGGGGCGCCCATAATATTGCAATGTCACCAAAAATCTGAGTAAACCAAATTTAAGAACATCCGAATCTCATGAAATGGTATCGTAATATGGTACTATACTAAGATACCGGCTTTATATGCGTTATTCCAGTCAATCATATATCGTGTGCAGTGTAACCTGAAGATATTCGTAGTATACGCAAGTTTTGAGCCCAATCGAAGGGTAGTGAAATGGTATCGTAATATGGTACTATATTAAAGCTTTCACTTTATATGGTATCATAGTTCCCATCATATTACAATGTCACCGAAATGAGTAGTATCCCAAGTTTAAAGGGTGGTACGCCATGTAATGTAATATATAAACATATTATGGTCTTTGCCAGTTGATATGCTAAATTGGTACCATAATAATGTTATGTCACTCAAAATACGCAAAAATATATCAACATTTGAGAACCGCCGGTAGATATTGCCAACTACATCCAATTACCCGGATCAAGCCCGGATTTCAGTTAATTCGACGCACGCCAGGAAGATGGTGATATTGAAATATGGTACTATATTAAGGTACCACTTTATAAAAAGCATCATAGTACCATCATACTCCACAATAAAAAAAGATACGTAGTATAACAAGTTTAAGTCCACTGCGACGTCAGGAAATGGGTATCGTATACATGGTAACTATATTATGGTACTTCTTATTATGCTGCTTGGTACCATAATATTACAAAATCACCGAAGATACGTAGTATCCCAAATATAAACCCAATCACACGCCATGTACATATATGGCTTCATACTATGGTACCACTGATGATAAAACACCATAGTACCATCATATTACAATGTCACTTTGAATATGATGTGAGTATACCAAGTTTAAGCCCTATTGCCGCTATGTACCACTAATACGAACTACTGTCAATCTAAGAACTATAGAAGGTTTCACTCAACATATGCTCCATGGTACCATGCTTTTTCGCAATGTCACTGAAGATATAGTATACAAGTTTAAGCCCAATCGAACGCCATGTATCGTAATAAAAAAAGAAATTTCTAAAATGTTTATCGTGATTCAGAATTCAATATATCGAAAAACAGCCCGACGAATAATCAACAATTCATTTTCGTTTTGTTTGTTTCCTTTCA